ATTTCCAGCAATACATCAGTAAAATATATAATCGAACACACACACACACACACACACGCACACACATGCATAGTGTGCAAATGTACAGTTTGTACGAATAATGATCTGATTGTTCGGCTTCAAGTGAAGCAAATAGAGAAAAATAGCCAAAAATCTTAAAAATAATTGCGATTAATATTTGTATAATTTGATTATTTGCACTATTATTTTAAGCTTATTGTCATTTATTTATGTTCTTCGGATAACTTTGATTAACTTATCTAGCGAGAAGCAGCTGCATTCATTGAAAAGTATCAAAAATAAATATCTATATAATATATGAAATTGTTGACTTTCGTCAATCGATGTTAAGGCCAACAATAGATGCCTTTTCTGTTGTCCTTAACTCAATTTGCGTTAATTTCCACATTTGCCAATTTTGCAATTTGGTGCAACTTGTTGCATTGGTGACAGGTCCGCATGTCGTACGTGACAGACGCGACGCGACGCGACTCTCTCGTTAGGATAAGCTAAAGAAAAATATACATACATTTGCCGGACATCTATAAATGTGACAATGGCGATAATTCGGGGCTGCAAAACAGCAAAATAATCACGACTATTTGTGGGCGAGGGGGGGGGGGGAGGGGGGAGGGGGGCGGAGTGCATTCATAAAATGCTGCCACTCGCATTCACATTCACATTCAGAGTCGCATTCACATTCGCATTAATAACACGTCCTCTGCGCAGGCGACAAATTGGTTGCCCCCCAAAAAAAAGGGACCAGCAGCCATTTTAAACTGAATTGCAGCTTATACACTTATATCCTTATACACTTATACACGCACACACACACACACCCACACACACAGACAGACGGACACACAGAGGGGCACGTACACACATTATGGGGGCGAAAGAAAGACGCATCAGAAATTTGTAGGAGGGCAGGCAGCTGCGTTGCATCTCCCATTGAGAACTGTTCCTCTTGCCACACAGGGTGACTCATCCTAACGCAGAATGCAATTAGTTTGCGATGAGATATTAACCAAGAGATCTATGTGCCTGCGGTTAGGCAACTTGACAAAAAGGCAGCCCACACACACACATGCACACACACATGCACACACACATGCACATGCACATGCACATAATGCAATTGGCAGCGTAAACAAACTGCGTGAAAAGGCGGTTTACGAAAAGTAAAAAGTAAAAAACCCAATAGTTAAGGGGCTTTAGGCGTTAACTATGTACACATGCGTATGTACGTTTTACATGCGCACATGCACGCATGCACACATGCACGCATGCATGCATGCATGTGTGCATGTGTGCATGTATGTACGGCTGCAACTAAATACAAACAACGGTTAATACTGTGTGGGCTGCCAAAGAATTACATTAACATTAACATCAGCGCGACGTACATAGCTATGTACATGCGTACATGCGTACATACATACATGCCGTACACATATGTACATGCATGCAAAAAAAACAACAAAAAGGTAGCTAAAAAATACATGAGAGGAAAAAAAAAAGGAAAACAGAAGAAAAATGACAAAAAACAAAGCTGAAAACATAAAAATTAAAAAGCATGTCCAAAACTTTGCATATGCATATACCACATACATACATATGTACATATGTACATACAGGCGCATGCATGCGCATGCATGCACATGTATGTACATGCACACCCTGTCCCTGTCCACGCGGTACACCCTGTCGCTTGTGTCCAGCCGATTGCATTACACGCACGAAAATAAAATGCAAATGCAGCGGCCGTCAAGAGAGAGGGGTGGGGTGGGGGAAGGGGAAGGGGGAGGCAACGGATGTGCTGGCCGCCATTGCATTTTCGTTAGCCACACACACACACGCACACGCATGCATGCGGGCATTTTCCATTTGGTTCATTTTTATTCGGACTTCTGTTGTTTTGCTCGCTTTTCTCTACTGACATCATTTTTTTCGCCTTATTTTTTGTGTTGTGTTTTCACTTTTTGTTTTGGTTTATTTTTCAGCTGCGCTTGTTGTTGTTGTTGTTCGTTGGTTGGGGGTGGGTGGGCAGGCAAAATTACGTATACGCCCCCCCGCCGGAGCCGGAGTACGGACGGGACGGCCGGATAGACGGATGGACCGTAGACAAAGTGCGTGCCCATCTACATTAATCGGTTAGTGTGTGTGTGTGTGAGAGAGCTAGCACGAAGGAGAGCGATATATACAGAGAGAGAGAGGGAGAGAGAGGGAGAGAGAGAGGGAGAGGGAGAGAGCGAGCAGGCTAGCACATAAAAATGCGTGCAGTCAAGCCCAGTTTCAAAGGGAACATAATGCAACTGAGATCGTAGGGCCTACACACCCCCGCCCCCCCTCTCCACCTTCCCCCCTCTCCCCGCGGTGGTTGCATTTTCGACTGTCCTGCGTATATTTATCTATTATATTTGTATACGTGTTTGTGCGCTTTGTCGTTGTTGTTCTTGTCGTTGTTTTTTTTTTCTCAGTTTTTGCACATACTTTGGATTATGTTAAACTCGCCTCCAGTCTGCGTGGGCGTGTGTGTGTGTGTGCGGGTGTGCGTGTGTGTGTGCTGCTGTTCTGGCTTTTTCCTGTTTGGGGCTTATATAAACAACAAATTGTGTTGTGCCTACGCGCTGCTATTTACTTATATTTTTATTATTTTCCATTTTTCTTCTTTTTTTTTTTTTGTTTAATGCAATTTGACTTTTTGTATCTTTTTGTGCATTTATCAATTTAATTTGCGCGCGTGTGTGTGCGTGTGTGTGTACATAAGTATTCTATGTGCGCGTCTCTCTGTTGACAGCTAGCCCACCCCTACCTCCCCCCCCCTGCCCCTACCCCTGCCACTCCCCCTACCCCTGTCTGTTCGCTGTGTTATGCAAAAAAGAAGGCGTCTTTTTTTTTTGTTTTTTAATATATTTTAATATAATGTATTACTTACTAGGCCTTTTCGTGCGAAAAGCTTTTTGTTTTTTGTTTTATCTGGTGTGTGTCGCTGGTAGGAAAGGGGGCAAAGGGAAAGGGGGGGGGGGGCGCTGGCTGCGGCTGCGTTCAAAGCTACTTATGTGTTGTCGCGGCGGCGGCGGCGGCGGCGGCGGCCACGCCCTCGCATTGTTTTTTATGCAGTTGTGTTTACTTTGCTTTTAATGAAAAATGCGTCGCAAAAAATTAGCATAAACATTTATAATTGATTCCGCTGCACTGCACCGGCATCACCGGCATCACCTGCAGTACCTGAGTCCAGAGTCTATCCCATATCCCCCCCCCCCTTCAACCAGCACCCGCACCCGCACCTGCACCCCAACCGCAGTCTGAAAACGAGACATGACAAAGGCCAATTTAATTGCTGCGGCCAGGTGACATCAAAAAAGCGAATTCATAGTCAAACATCTTTAATAGCTACAATTTTTAAATTTTTCCCAAAATACTTTCAGAATTCTTGGCGAAATGCCGGAGCGAATTGCCCTTTGACCTGGAGCACAGTCAAGCTGAAGCTCACAAATATGCAGCTGCTTTAGAGAGTGTTAAGCCAGCCCTAGGGAATTCAACTTTCAGTCTAAACTCTTGTTGAATGCAATCCATATGGGTATAAAGATTCCCAAAGTTTGCTGCCTTTTCATAATTCTCATGGTGCTTCGTACGTATCTAAGACGCGCAGCGAAAATAGTTAATGCCGAGTAAAGTTAAGATATCTTAAAAAACAAAAAGTATTTCAAACAAGAACCTCATTTTCGACAGATCATTCCTATGGCAGCTATAAGATATAGTAGTCCGAAGTAAATAAGATTTTGCATTAATGTAGGGAACATAGTGAAACTAATAAATGCCGAGTTTGGTCAAGATATCTTGAAAAATAAAAAAGTTTTCCATACAACAACTTTATTTTCGACCGATCATTCGTATGGCAGCTATATGATATAGTGGTCCGATGTTGATAGGATTTTGCATGTATATAAAACGCATAGTAAAACTAATAAATGCCGAGTTTGGTCAAGATATCTTGAAAAATAAAAAAGTTTTCCATACAACAACTTTATTTTCGACCGATCATTCGTATGGCAGCTATATGATATAGTGGTCCGATGTTGATAGGATTTTGCATGTATGTAAAACGCATAGTAAAACTAATAAACGCAGAGTTTGGTCAAGATATCTAAATAAATAAAAAAATGTTTTTCATACAAGAATCTACTTTTCGACCGATCGTTCCTATGGGAACTATATGATATAGTCGTCCGATCCAGCCGGTTCCGGCATATATACTGCATGCAACAGAAAAATGCACTTCTGCAAAGTTTCATAAGGATAGCTTTAAAACTGAGAGACTAGTTCGCATAGAAACAGACAGACGGATAGACGGACGGACTTACGGGCGGACGGACGGACGGACATGACTATATCGTCCGGCTGTTGATACTGATCAAGAATATATATACTTTATGGGGTCGGAGATGTCTCCTTCCAGGCGTTACATATTTCGAGACAAAATTATAATACCCTCTGCAAGGGTATAAAGGGGCTACATTCCTCATCAGACAAAATCGTCGAACCACCCGACGAGAGACCAAGTTATAGTAAGACTTTTATACCCGATCATATTTTTTCAAGAGGAATGTAAGACATTTCCGATCTCATAAGATTTGTGTATTCTTTTGACTCCATGCTCTGCCCTAGACTCCATCTCGAATATAAACAACCATGAACACTAGTCCTCCATAATTAGATCATTATTAATTAATCTATTTTCTTAATTAAAGCTAATTGACAAATTAACGAAAATGAGTTAGCAAAATAACATTAATGATATATGCAGATATTTAAAAAAAACCAACTTAGAATAGAAAAAAACCAAAAAACAAATTTCACACCAAAATATATTTTATATAGACACTTAGACCCCAATTCATGGCACATATATGATTATCTGAACAAAACTTTTCACAATATTCAAAGAACGATATAGTCCCCAAAAATAATAGAGCAATTGATAAAAAAGGACATACCTGAATCGTGTCCTTGTCCATAAACAAAATTAGAAAAGAATTTTTCAATTATGATAATCCGATAAATAGACTTGCTAGAATGATATTTAAATAAATTAAGCAAAATATATAAATATAACAATTAAGCAATTTAGATTAATATAAATAATTTCATGTTCAAAATTTAATACTACCTACATTGAAGTTCCTACTATTTTCCATATGATATTCACTTATCGTTTAGTCTTAACTCCATGTTAAGTTATTATAAATAAATCTAATAAAATGTATTCTAGATCTCAAGCTGTGGCAGCCAGTACATATATTTCGGACCAGATCGGACCATAAGATACGATTATTTTTCGATAATTATGTTATTGTATGAAAATCTTCAAGATTTCCTAACTAGACGGCAAATTTTTTGAGTACTTCTGTGCTCCTTGCAGAACTTTCTAACTGTTAACATTGACTCTAATGTTAAGAATCGGTCGAAAAATGAGTTTTTGTATCTTTCAAATTTGCTTTCTCTAGAGAACTAAAACGAAACTAGGTAATTCTGCTCAGATCTCTACAGTTTCGTCAAGTTCTAGTTCTACAAGGGTATCTACTCGTCGTAGCTACCCCTTCTCTCTTGATTTTGTGCTCCTTTTGATAATTTTCTTCAACTAGTTCATGTTAATTTTAGTGCTAAGTATTATTTAAATATTGTAGTTTTTTACAATTCGCTCAGATTGCAAATAAAAAAGCGATTACAAAACAACAACAACAACAAAAATAATGAAATAAATACAAAATTTGCAAAGGAGAAATCGCGCTCACAAATCGCTTCAACAAAGCAAACAAATCTGGCGAACAAATGTAAAATGCACAAAAATCACAAACTTTCAACGCGGCCCATCTGCCAACTGTGTGCGTGTGTGTGTGTGTGTGCGTGTGTGTGTGTGTGTGTACAACGGATCGCATCGATCTTTGTCGTGGCAGAGAGGCTTACATGATTTAAGGGCGACGCCAATTGGAAATCATCTTCGCCCTGCGCCCTGCGCCCAAACCATAGAAAGCTGTGCCCAAAAAAAAATCAAGGGATGGATGGAGCGAGGGGGGAGGGGGGGGGGGGCTTGGTGAGATGTGTGCAGCGCAGTTGCATGCCCGGAACTCGTTTGTGTGTGCCAAATATTGCAACTCACAAATCTTGGTCTTTCTTCACGAAAGCTTCACATCTCCAACAAGTTTATGCGCGAGTGTGTGTGTGTGTGTGTGTGTGTGTGTGTGCATTTCTTGATTTTTATTTTGCTTTGCTTTGCTTTGCGTAATTTTTGTGTAATTTTGGTGAAGCGCAACACATGTATATATATATATATATGTGTGTGTGTGTGTGTGTGTGTGCATTTGCAGGCACTGTATGTGACTAAAATTGTTGCTCTTTTTTTTTTTTTGATTATTGCCTCACACATGTGCGGCGGCGCTGCCTCTGCCAACATTTTAGCAAATGACTTCACTTATTTACTTGATGGTGGCTAAGCGTCCCCCCCCCCCCCCCTCTTCCTGCCGGCCTGTCTTGATCATCATCAATGTCGCAGTTTGCTTGCTTACACCCGCCCCGTCCTCGCCCCGCCCCCGCCCCGTGCCGACAAACAGTCGAGGCTTCCACTAAGACCGGGGCAGCCAGCCATACGGCGCGGCGCGTTGATAATTTCCAAAAACAAACTCGGACGACGAACGCATAGCCGAGGTTAACGGCTTCAGTACAACTTTTTGAGGTTTCTCAACGCACACACACACACACACATTTACACACACACACACACACAGTGGCAACTGTGATCGCAGCACAGCGACCTAGCGAGGGCAACATTGAGAATTTAGGAAGTGCGAGTAGATGCCTGCTTTGCCAGGGCTTGCTGCAGGCCACTGGGTAAAGGGGCAGAGGGGGGCGAACGCAGTATGCATGTTCAAAGCTTTGTTTGCAGCCGCATATGTGTGTGTGCGTGTGTGTGTGTGTGTGTGCGCGCTTGCATATTTCAAACTACGGACAGCGATCTTCCCCTCTCACACAGCACGAAATAAACGCGTTGCGCTCCGGCAAAAATTGAGAGTGAGTGTGAGTAAAGGAGAGAGGGGGAGAGTGGGAGAGCGAAAAAGTGAGTGAATTGGCCAAAAATATATTGGTTTTGCCAAAAAGTTGCCACGCTCTCGCCTTCTCACTCGCTCTCGCTCTCTTTCGCTCTCGCTCCTTCTCTCTGTTCGCTTTCGTTGCGCTCACCAACACTTTTGCAGCCCTCTAGATGCCCCCTGGACTGCAACGACGCCTGCTGCGACTGCGACGGCGACGGCGACGGCGACTGCGGCGTTACATAGATCGCTTGGCATCTCCCCGAAAAAAAGAGCCTGCAGTTTTTTATTATTATTATTTTTTTTGGTAGTTCAAAGACCGCAGCTCGAGCAGCGGCAATAAAAAACCGCAGCGTGACTTTGCTTTTGCCGCATTCGCCCCTTTCCGGAGCGCCCCCCCCCCCCCTTCCCTCCCCCGCTGGCACTCGTTGCTCGTTGTTGTCTTGCTTGGCTGCTCGCGCACTCCATCTATTTACGTATATACACATACATATATATGTATGTATATGTATATGTATATATGCATGTGTATAACAAAAGTGATGAACCCCTTTGGGGAAGGCGCATTCCAGTTGAGTTTGGCTTAGTCTTATCTTGCGGAAAGCTCTTTTTTGCTCTCCCACATATTTAGGGGCCGATCGAGGCTGGCCTGGCTGACTGTACAAGGGCAGCTATGACAGAGCGAGAAGCAGATCTCTCTCGCTCTCTCACACACACACACACACACACACACACACAGGGTGCTGAAGCCTATGCAGCCAGCTTCGAGGACGCGGAGGAGGAGGAGAAGAACGAGGACGAGGTCTTTGGATTTATTCGGCATAACATTTTTTTTTTGTTTTCTCTCTTTTCGCATTTGTCTCCACACACACACACACACACACACACACACGTGCACACAGGCATAATTTGTAGCTTGTTCTTGCTTTTCGTAGATGTTGTGGCTTCAAAATTGAATTTTGGGGCTCTCTTCGCTGCGTCTTTGGGATCAATGCACCCGTCTTCTCTCCCTCTCTCTTTCTGCCGTTCTCTCTATGAGTGCGATGCGCTTGCAATTTGAAAAATGATTGCTCAACCCTTTTTATATATGGATGTACAAATATCTTGTGGAGGGTTTCATTCAATTAATGTGCAAAAATAAATATACGAAAACAAAATAAGCGTGCAATATACACAAAAAGTGTACACAAAACCGAAATGACTAAGATAACACACACACACACACACTTACACTCCTTTTTGGGTTGCAAAAGTCAAACAAAGCTCAAGGTGATCCTCTTCCAGCGACTAGGCAACTTTTCAGCTCGCTTCAAGGCCCGTTTGGCCCGGTGCCATAAACCTTACAGTAAGATACAGCTATAAAAATATACTAGATGAAATTACCCGGCGTTGCGCGAGTCAAATTAACTGTGTGGAGTCAACTTTATGTTTCCGCTCGAATTGCCACAATGTATCTTTGTATTCTCTCGCTAAGCCCTTAATTTTTAATTAATTATTATTATTATTATTAAAATTTTTATTAATTATTATTGTTTAATTCCTTTATCTTTCCATTCCCTTTTTGTTGCTTCATTTTGTATAACTGTCTTTTGCTTTGAATGAGCACAAGTAATAAGATGTAAAATTAACAATTTGTTTTTCTGCATTTGAACCGGCGACCTTTCGCTTAGGTTCACTTAAGTTACTCAAGCACACTTATAGTCTGATTCCACTATGCTCCAAATATGTTATATTCACAATTTTCACATTCTGCGATTCCATTATCAAGTGTCAGTTGTCGTTAACATGTGAATGGCAAAAGTAACGCTACTTTAAATAAAAAGCTGATCGATTTGATTTGAATAGTAAAAAATGATCCATTTAATGGATTCTTTGCGGGCCATTTGGCCAACTTTAAATGTGAAAAACTGTGGTATTGGTATAATTTGTAATTATAATTAAATAATTAAAATATATAAAAAGTTAACGCTTGCCTTCGGCTATATCTTTTTGCTTTATCAGCTGTTTGTGGCATTGATACTGTTATAGATTTTCCATAACATCGACACGAAATTCAATAAATCATCGCAAAAAATAAAACACGAATTACTCACGGCGAATGCCAACATTTTTTTTTTGCAAATGTGAAAAATGTGGCGAATCATATTTCACATTGTGCAAAAAAATGTAAGAAATGTTGACAGTGGAATTGGGCTATAAAATTGTGCTGCATTAAAGATAATTTGCATTAACTCACATTCGAGCCAAAAGGAAGCTTGATTTGGGATGGAAAACTAATTAATATTTAATCGGGCCCCTTTCCCATTTTATAATCTTAGACAAGGGGCCAATTAGAAAGCCATCAAATGTAGTTGGAAAACACACACGATTAAGGAATTAAATGATTTGTCGCACGCTAATAAACACATGCACAAAACATAACACACACAAGTTCACACAAGTTCACACATTCACACATTCACACACACACACACACACGCAAATGGAATTAGCCTATGATGGGCCATAATCAGAGGCAGGGAAACAATCCTTAAAACTACCAACAAGTTCAAAGTTCAAAAAGGCTGAAATGCCACAAAATCAACACGTCCTCGCACACATGCTTACAGCTAAATGGAGAGAGAGGGGGAGAGAGAGAGAGAGAGAGGGGGGGGAGGGCTTAGAGAGAAGTGCTGCCAAGAGGCAAAACCGCTTAAGTGCGCCTATAAAATTACTGTGAAAATTTCACACTAAAACTTTTGCCCTAAACTTCAACCCAAACCCACAAAATTGATGATGATGATGTTGATGATGTGTGTGTGTATGTGTGTGTGTGTGTGTGTGTGTGCGTGTGTGTGTGCAAATGAGTTGGAATTTTAGGGCACAAATTCATCATAAAATCACTTAAAATGATATTAACAACCCTTGCCCTTGCCCTTGCCCTTGCTCTGGCCGTGGCCCTTGCTCTTATGCCTGTCCTGTTGCGGGTTGTCCTTGTTGTCCTTGT